TTTAAAAGGAACTAGAAAGACCTGATACATACAGGTATTTCAGAATATCAGATAGTTTCTCATTATAGTGTGCACAAGAATCCTGTGAAGTAGTTATTACCAGCCCTCTTTGAGGGATGAATTGACTGAGTTATAAAAACTTAAGTACCTTTTTCAAAGTGACACAAATAGTGGCAAAGTCTCTATTTAAACTTTGGACTGCCTGGCTCTGAAGTCTGGCGAAGTTCCAGGGTAGAGCTCAGAGGAGAGAGTCCCTACTCTAGCATGCAGCCTCCCTTTAGAAAGTGCTTCCAGGGCTTAGAAACTGGTTGCTCTAGTCTAAGCAAGTACCTAGTAATAGAGTGCACTGCCTTTTAGTGGAGTGGTGGTGGTGACAGAGATGATTTTTTTCTCCTAGGGTTAAGTCACAGTTGCTCAGACTTCACCACCAGGAACTTTGATTCAGGAAGTCTGAATTCTAATCTACACTCCAGGTTAAGAATTTGGGGGCTGAAATGCCAGGTTCAGGGAGCCATGTAAATTTTCTATACCTGGGAGATCAAAGAGCTAATATTAGTGGAGCAGCTAGGTTTTCAAGGGCAACTTTATTCCCAGATCTGAAGTTCACCTGAAAAGAAGAGAACAAAAGCTATGTTCACTAGTCTTTAGCTACCCCATTAAAGTCCATAGGCCAGAATTCCAGTTTAAGTTTTGACATATAAAGAGCTTGGAATTCATCCTGAACTTATAAGCAGAAAAAAAGCTGAACCGAGAGTCAATGACTTATCTTAGACCCATCAGAGAACTGAGGTCACAGGGCAAATGACCACCCCAAATTCCGGAGAAATGACAAATCCTGTGAGTCACAGCGTATCCTTACATAGAGCAGAAACTGCTAGAGACATAAACAGGTAAGAACACTTAAATGGTAATTGTGACAAATTGCTGGAAACTGAGTGTGGAATAGTATGAGAGAGAGAGATCCCACGGGGACCTGCAGTCTTAAAGGTTTAGTGGGCTTTACCTCCAGGAACTCTGGCAGGTTCTCACAGTGAGGATCCCAGAAAGATCCCTTCAGGGCTCTGGCAGTGAGAGGGGAAGTTTACTCTTGTGAAATACACTCAGAGCCTCCTCCGTAACAAAGGCCTACTCTCCAGTAGAAAAGACTTTCGCAGAGCCTTCCCCTAGCTGAGGGAGAGTCATTCTCCCTACCTGCTCACTCTAGCCTTCCATTCTCACATAAGGGGTAGAAAGAGGCTAAGAAACACTTGTGAAGGTCACAGCCTATGGACACAGGCCCAGAAAAGACTGGAATTTAGTTTTAAGATTATAGAACACTTCCTTTCCTCCACACATTATCATCATACTAACAAGCCTCCAGTAACAGTAGTAACAGTAACAGTAGAGTACAGCTGAAGGAGCGGCAAGATGCAGACTCTCTCTGCAAGAAGTAATTAGGGAATCCCAAAGTTAAGAGGGAAGAGATAAGGAGACTCTGGCACCTACGGCTACAGAAAACATTACGCACAGCCCAACTGCTAGCCAGCTTAAAATAAAACTGACTAAAGGTCTATTTACCTCAGTTCGTATTACCCAGTATATCATATCCAGCTTTCAACTCAAAATTATGAGGAACACTAAAAGGCAAGAAAAAGCACAGTTTGAGGATATAAAGCAAGAGTCGGTATCAGAGTCGGATATGATGCAGATTTTGGAACTATCAGGGGATTTAAAATAAGTATGATTAATATGTTAACAGCTCTAATGGATAAAGTAGACAGGTGTGTAGGGCAGGTGGCTGAGATCCAAGCTGGTTGTAAGCTCTGCCCCATTTCCACACTGCCAAAGATCAGGAGAGCTGGGATGTGACCGCCACAGAAGACCTGACAGAACAGTGGAAGAGGAGCCAGGCGCAGCCCTACCTGGTGCCTGACACGTGGCAGTGGGGCAACAGAGAAAGAGGCTTGTATGACCCGGTGCGGGTCCTGACAGGGAAAGCCCTGTTTCTTGGGCAACTGTGGGGACCGCGAAATGGTCCAGTGTGTTACCATTTCGAATGAGAAAGAAAGCAGTGTGGCAGAAAGAATGAATGATTGTGGGCGCAGACCAGCGGTTTGTTCGCTGGAGTCAGAGGTCTAGGTGTGCCTTCCTCGGGAAGAGGGGCAGTGGTGAGGCCTCCATGGGACCCCCTCCCACCTCCCCGCAGCCACCAGAAGCAATAAAAGAAGAACTTGGTAGGGGCCCCCAGAACCTCGGGGGCGGTCTGGTCTTAAATGGCCTCTCGCCTCCCAACCTGCGGTCCTCAGGGACCCTCTCCCATCAGCGTCCTGGACGGATGGTGGGCGCGAGGGGAGGTGGAGGCGGGCAGCCAGGGAGCATTCTGGGGGTTCACACACAAACACCCACCCACCGAAGGGCTGTTTGTGTCCATCCGCTGCTCCCTGCGACGCGGCCCCTCCGGACCTCCCGATCCTGGCCCCCAGCGGCCCCCACCCGCCGGTCCCCTCTATTGTAGTGGCGGAAAGGAGGGGGTGGTCGCCACGTAGGTGGCCGCGGAGGTGTAGTGAGGCGGGCTGGCCTCCGCCCGCCCCTTGGCGGGAGCGCCTCCCGGCCCCGCCCCCTCTGGGTCGGAACTACGGTGGGCCTGGGAGGGGGCGTCGAGCCCGTTGGTGCCGTATCCCTCCGCCCCCCTTCCCGACACCCCTCGCCGCGAGCGGTTCGTGCCGCCGCCTGCCCAGCCCCTGCCCGTTTTGGTGCAGCGGCGCAGGGGGCGGGCCGCCTGTGTGCGAGTCGGCCGCACGGAGGGCGGTGGGCAGGCGCGCGAGGCGCTCGGAGAGGAGGGCAGGCCGGCGGCCTGGGCCTGAGTCGAGAGAGGCAAGTGGGGGTGTGGGGGGGGCGCGGGGGTGGCCCCGCCGTTGCCCGGCGTGCAGCCCGCCCTCCAGCTGGCAGCCTGGCGAGGAGCCGCCGAGGCGGTCGGAGCCGGTCGCCGAGAGCTGTGCGCAGCGGGCCAGCGCCGGGGGAGCCGTGGCGCTGCGGCGGCGGCGAGTGGCGCGGGCCGGGGCGCGGGGGCGCCGGAGAGGCTGCCGAGAGGCTCCCGGGGCTCCTCTGGAGGCGCCTAGCGCTCGCAGCCGGCTTCTCGGCGCCGCGCCCCGCCCTCGGCGGTGTCTGTGCGGGGGAGAGGGCTGGGGGGCTGCTGCGGGAGAATGGCGGGGCGGGGGCGGGGGCGGGGGGGGG